CAAGAAATTCAACTTTAAAAGATGAAAAATTGCGAATAATAATTCTTCTCTTTATTTATTTAAAAAAAATTGATTCTAAATTCACTTGATGTTTGTCCCTAAAATAATGTTTTGACTTAGACATCCTATGTGTAATGGATGGATTTAATATGTTAATTCATATCCATTTTTTCAAAAAATACTTGAAGAGTCGAATTGAACGTATGTCACTTTGTTCAAAATTCGAGCATCCGCCATTTAGCATCCTTCGTTAAGTAAGCGACACTGGTTGTCGCCGTCATCGGCGTCGTCGTCGACAGAATTTAATTACTCGACGGTAAATTACTAGGTAATCGAATTGTCGATGTCTAGGTCGCTTATGAAAAAGCAATAATCAGTGCGGATAAAGTCGGCGCAACTGCAATGCAGTGCGAAAATTTTCAATGAGTTTACTCAAATTAAGATAATTTCTCGAAAATTCGTAATGAGATGATTAAATTTAACTTATTTCAATATTAATCGTGCATGTTTATTTATACACATAAACAACGAAATTCATCATACAATATTTATAAAAGTAAAATATTTTGTATCATTGCACATTTTTATAATTATATTATTGATTATTACGATACTATAAATATTTACTATCTTATATTTTTATGTTAATTATTAACTATTATTTATTAAATATATTATCATTAAATATATTATCATTAAATATATTATCATTGAATTATAAATTATCATTATGTTGAAATGATATTCTATATTAGCGCCATTAATATTTTCTTTTTCTTACTTTTCTTATTTTTTCTCATGTGCTCTACAAATAATTTCCAATTTTGCTTGACATTACGAATATCAAGGGATTCAGTTGTCGCAAATAATCCACACAGCATGCCTGGATTTACGACTCGGTCCCTTAAATTCTCGTTAACGTGATTAGGAACGTAATTATGCGACCGCGACATCCTCTCCGGCAATCAACGCCGATGGGCAAATATGGCAACGATGATGTAACCGGTGGGAGGCTTGAAGGTAATCAGACATGTAAATGACACGTTTACCTCTGAGATTTGCATTAATTCCGCTAATCGTTTCTATCAACATCGAACGCGATTTCCTGAGGAAGTTGAACATCATAGACTGTCTCTCTCACAGAAAAAAGTGGATCTTCCATGACAAATAAAATTAGGTATAAGTTTTATTTCATTACTGTCATTTTTATTGTTTGTTATTCTTTGAATTTTTTTTATTAAGAAGTATATAGCGCTCTCTCTCTCTCTCTCTCTCTCTCTCTCTCTCTCTCTCTCTCCCTCCCTCTTCATGAAAGGAGATTATATTAATTCAAAGATTTAAAGAATCTACTAATTTTTCACTTATTACATCAACAATTGTTATTTTGTTAATAGCTGAAGAAATATTTAATCATAAAAAGTCATATGAAATGAGTTCTGTCTTAAACAATATTTTTTATTCTCTCAAAATAATTCTAAAAAAATCTCATAATAAATCGAAATTTATACTCATACGATATCAATTGTTAATATCAAATAATATTTAAAAAAAACTCCAGAAGAAAAACTCAAGAAGTAAGATAAGATATTTTGAAACTAGATCCTTTAGATATACGCAAATAATGTTTGCGTCATGAATAAATTCGAAGCTCGATAGTAGCGTTAAACGTAAATACACGTAACGCAAAGAGCATAGACGAAACAAACATTGAAGTCGTGAACAAGTTCGAAACCGAAAGCTCGTTGCCGAAGAGGATTTCGCTGCTCGCGCGCGTCTGTCCATCGAATGTTTCCAAGCGTGTACGAGAGGTTTACGAGTAAACACAGCGGCGTCCCCTATGGTTTGCGTATCTCCGTGTAGCGTAAACCGAGACCATCGTGCGCGCACACGGTAACAGGAAGGTAGAGACTTCCAACGACTTGGCCAAAGTTGCAAACTGCAGATTGCACCGGACCGACGGTCATATAACGTCTCGATCTAATTGCAAGCAATGTTTCTCTATCTCCGGCATACCAAAATTTAATACTAATATTGTATCCGTAATTATGAAGATGTTGTCTTCCACCTGTTACCAGGCAATATGGGCAAATGCTTTAAAGTGAACCGTACGCAATGCATAATCACATTATAATAACCTTATGAACAATACACTCCATAGGAATCGAAAAGATAAAGACAGTGTAAATTTATGATTTTTAGGGTAATGTTCGACGATCGATAGGGTAACATTCTTAAATAATAGAAATTCAAGAAAACTGAATATTTTTTTTGTATTCTTCTTTTTAGAATTTTTTTGTTTTATATCAAATGTGCACATTATGTTATATAATCCATAATGCATTTTATTTTACGATATAAAATCACATTTTATTATAATTTATTTTTATATATGATTAATCTTTAGAGGAAATTATGAGAAAATTTTTTAAAACTAGCGAAATTTACTTTTTACATAATATTTCTTCGCAATAGCTTCAATTACATTTTTTCTTTTTCTAATTTTTAGAAGAATTTTCAATCTAAATAAATGCTATCTTTCTTTTATAATAATTATCGAAATAATTTTTCTATTATTTGAGCTTTTGAAAAATTCATTCCGGAAATCTAAGTATAAGATAAATTCGTCATATATATAAAAAAAACCTACCCGGTACAGACTGACCCAGTTGTACTCGACCGATCTCGCGTTACTCATAGAATAGGGTTTGGCTGGTTTTCGATTACCCATCTCAAGACCACCGATATACAGCCATGCATTCTATTACCCTATAACTATACGGTAGCGACCCACGTAAACCCGTTAATGGTAGGTCTGTTTGTATCTTTGTATGTGTGCATATCTAGACCCGGAATGTAAACTACCGCATAAAGCTGATTTCTGCATTCGCTATCCTGCAGCAAGCGGTATTGCCTAACTGTATTCCGGGACTCGCACAACTTAGGCAAGGCCAGTTGGAGCGTCTACTTGGATATTGACAAATATGATCTACGGTAGCTACATACTTTGTAATATATGCACAACTGTTGTCTCGCGGTATGCGTATTTCTCTTGAATTGCGAAATAGTAAATTGTTAGGAAGTTAATCCAAAGATAGTGAATATTGATAAGTAAATAAATGCATAATTTTACGATTTAATTAGAAAATCTAATCTTTTTTGTATTGATTTACTATTTTTGTACATTATTATTATTTTACTTATGATTTTTATTATTAATCTAGTAAATTTCCCGATCTTTGTTCGGAGACAATATTTAATTTTATCTTAAATTTGTTAAATCAATTGTCAATATTTGATTTTGTTAATTGATTAATAAGTTTACAATTACAATTAATCTTCAATTACAATTAATTTAATCTTAATCCTAATTAGTATTCAATTCAATATTAATCTATTATGATTTAATCTCATTAGAATTAATTATTAAGCGACACTATAGCATCGCATTCTTGTAAATTCGTTATCTATAATGTTTCTGTAAATATTATCAATATTAGTACGTATTATTCCTTCATAATTTATATCGTGTCTATTATTTGTAATATATTTTCATATCCCACAAATTATGTCACTATATATTTTAATTTATAATGTAAATACTGTGAAATAATACCTATATTCACATATACCACAGAAGTACAATTAATGTTACCCGGGCACGTCAAGTTTTTTTCTTTACTAATAATCCATTGACAGTTTTATATTAATATATTGACAATTTCAACATATTTTCAGTCTATCTTATGTATCTTGCACAATGAAATATTTATTATTGGCTAATTATATTTATTTCATATCCGTTTTTGATTAAGAAGAAGATATTCAATATTTTTTTTTATGCACTTGACTATTGTTTCTTTTTTTAAAAGTTTTTTTAGAGATTATTATTATTTTTAAAATAATCAACTATTTAATTGTAGTGAATTGCAGTTCTAGCTATAATTTAATGTGAAATTATTGTAAGATGACCGATTTGTATTTTCACTGTCGTTATTTATACTTTTTTTATGATTGCTCATTTTCACCTTTCATTAAAATTTACGAGTGCGCGCATAAATATACGTTCAGATTTACGGAAGTAGCAAATTTTTAAGAGAATTACCTTTTACCAGGTGGTGCAGCGCGAGGAAAAAAGTATTTCTTTTAAAAGATCTCGATACTAAAGAAAGCACAGAGAGAAGCTCCCGACAAACATCCTAAAAAGGATTACCTACGTCCTCTTACTTCTAAGAGCGCGATACAAAACTGCGCCGTTAAACTGGACGCTTAAATCGACGTACTCTATCTGATAAACGATACTTTTCTTCACCTTATATATTATACGTAACATGTTGAAAATCGTGTAAAGATCGTACATAAAGTATAGAAAATGTGTCTGCGAAAGATTTGCCATAAGATATTGATGATTGTCTAGTTTCAATCATTAGTATCGTCAGTTCTGTAAACTTTAACTAATTTTTAAAAATAATCCAATGGCAATTAATAGAATTTTTAATTTTTAAATGTTTAATTTTTAATTTTTAAATATCTTGATGTTATTTTAATGTATTTTAGTATATAGCATTTAGCATTAAAGTATTTAATATTTTATACAGTCACTTTAAAAAAAAAAGAATATTTAAATCTTATATTACTTCTAAATATAAATTTAATTGTTTTAAATAATAAGTTGTTAAATATTTTCAAAGTCTCTCAAATTTTACATTTAGAATTAGAATTCTGTTTAGATTAGAATTACATATTTCTTAAATGTTTCTAATAATTATTATTTTATAGAGTAAACGTTTTAATAAATTTTTTTTTAGTTCTATACAATATATGATGTACAGTACTTGTATATAATTCATGTACAATGTATATTATAAAATTGATACATAATATTAAGAAAACACATATTGGGATTTCGATTTCTGCACTTATTATTTCAGAAATTTGGATCTAATAACAATGACATGTAAATCTTAAGCCTCTTCTTTCGCTCTACTATTTCCACAATAACCATGGAAATAGTAGAGCGAGAATCTTCTGCCTCAGACGTCTGTCCCGAACTTTCTATCCCGAACAAGAGGCACGATGCCTTTTATCTTGAAGAAAGCATCGTTGTGAGTACGGAGGTTGAACTTCGCTTGATTACGAATTGAAGGTATACCGCGCAATTTTCACCCGCGAGAGGATATGAAAGCGAAGTAAAGGGACGTCTGTCGGTCTTATAAACTTCAATATAGCTACAAGAAGCAAGATAGGAAAGAACAATTTTATCCGGCGAACAGTCACGTGTCGATTAAATATGTATGACCACTGTGTGGCATCAGATGAAAAATAGAGAATTGTAAATCAGAACCGTCAGTGAGAATTTCAGAAAAGTCGTCGACAAATAGTGAAAAACTTGAATGTATGTACGTTACGTGTCAAGAATGTTTATATGTTTCATGTATATAGCTAAAGGATGACTTTAGCAAAATCTCGTGACCGAATACTGTTATCGATGTATAAAATTATAATTTAATCAGGAATGCAATGGATTCATCTGTTAGTATCGAATACAAGTGTTTCGTGCTTATATTTTCGCTTTTCTCGTGAAATATTCTCGAACAAAGGAAAACGTGATTCTTGGAAATTTTTGTAATATTAAATTCATCATATTGACACGAATAAGCTTTATATACATATGATACAAAATTTTTTTATCGGCTAATTATTGAAAGTTGTGTTTTAATCTGAGAAATTAAATTATTTAATATTATTATTATATTAATAGATTTTTTTAAATAAAACACATTATATATAAATATATCAAACTTTTAAATTTTATATATGAAACTAATTTAAAATTTTTCTTATTAAACTTAATTATGTATTATAGAAACTTATGTATTATAGAAACTTAATTATGTATTATAGAAGAGCACTTACAAACTATGTGCTAATTGAATAGAAAAAAAGAAGGTTTCCATTTCTTTGCTAGAAGAATATAATAAATCTAATATATTTAATTGATTTAAGACCATTTACTAATTTTTATTCTTTTTTCTCATACCTTTGCTGAAGAAACTTTCTAATGAGCAAGGATAAGGTCCCTCCCTTCAAAACTTCAAAACTTCAAGTCTTCTTACAATAAATTTCGCAGAAACTTATAATATTTTTAGGAATAATAAAGAAAAAATAAATATTATAATTAATCCAATCTGTTGTATTTGTTTAATTTATTCCAAACTTTTTATTATTTTTAAAATTTTAATAAACTAGCATCGTTTTATATTACATTAAATAATAATATTATTATTATTTGTTTATAATAAAAGCGTGAATAAGCTATTCAAAAAAAAAGAAAAAATTATTGAAAGAAATGTTTGTTAAAAAATTAAATTAATCTGCAAAGAAGTCTAGAATACATGATGTTTGATGTCCGCAAGAAAAGCCTCTTATATAGTAAAGGCGACTATATCTTCGATACAACCTCAGCAAGAGTATTAAATTAGTGATCGATACTTCCTATATATATCTTGCGGCTATCTAATATACCGGCGAAACATGGAAGATGCATATAAAATAAATGTGACATCGTCGTGACGAGATTGGGACATATCCGCTCAACGAACAAAAAAGCGAACAAAAAGCTATTACAGCGACATCAATTTCTGCTAGGTGTCTATTCATGCGAGACAATACCGCGGCGATGGAAACGTTGTTTAAATATTGGGACACGCTAGCATGGGTTATTGAGGTTTCCGCAGGTCTTTTTATATCGAAATTGAGAGAGGAAAAAAGGAGTTTTCTTGTCATATCACGTGGGCATAGCTTTCGTGAATGACTTTTTGAACAAGACCTCCTGACCCATTTAAAAGTTTCGTGGCTTTTCCTTTTCCTTCTCGCTACTCTTCCTCTCCAAACCATTCTCTTTAGTCGTTTTTTCACATCCTTGTCACAAGTGTCTAACTTTCGCGAAATGTTTCCCTTTTTCTTCTACTTGGTTTTTCCAGGGAAATTATTATTGGAACGGACAATTTAAGGCGTTTCCGTTGCACATTGTGATTACGTCTAAGTTTAATCGTGTATGAAATCCTCATAATTTTACAGAATTAATTTATTTATATAGCTTGACAAATATCGATGATATTTCTGTTTGTTTTAAACGTGACGAAATAGGTAATTATATCAATAATTTATTAATCAGATAACTGTGTTGCTGACAGGCAAACAAATGTCTCACACGTAAATAAACATTGAAAATATTCACATATTATTATCAAATATTATTAGAAATACAAAAATATATTTATATTCGCATTATTTGAATATGCCGCTATTTGCGATGCAATTAAGTATTACACCACACTGAATATTTAAAGAAAAAATAATTTTAAATGTTTCTCAATGTTCCTCAATGTAAAAATTTAAGGAAAATGAATTTAAGGAAAAATTTTACACTTAAGAAGCAGAAAAATCCGGACAATGAAATATTAAAGTAATAATATTTGAATTTCGAATTTTATTTGATGAATATATTTTAAATCAAATTCTGTTCATTAAATATTTAAATATTTAAATATTAAAAAGTATATGACAAAGTAAAAAATGTTTTTTTTTTTGCTTTGTTTCAGAATTTTAGAATTTTATTATTATTAAATTTTGAAACTATTTATTGTTGTTTCTTGATTCTAGAGCTTGAAAATATTAAATTCATATATCTTTAACTCTTCAGTATAAAGTTTTTTGCAAGAGAAATTCTTCAGGAACTCGAAAACACCATTATCGCATCCAGGCCTCATTATCATAAGCGCACGATTCGCAAGGCTGTGCACGGCAACTGTTAATCGTCACGTTCCCGATTCCCTTCTCAATCGCATTTTCCTGCTGGCTATTAAATAATTAAGTGCCGGCACTTAATTCGGCCGGAGCGAAGCCTGGAAACGCGGAAGAAGATCGATCCATCGTAACTGCGGAATACTTCCAGGGAGACGCGGTGAGACTATGTTGTGCTCGATAATGAGAAGTGCTCAGCGAGAGCGATGTGTAATTAGAGACGATGGCGTGCACCGAATGGTTGAACGTAGTCGACAGCTCCGTGAAACGCCGCGTATATTTTAGCGACGAAAAGAATAGTTCCGATAATGAGCGACACTTCAGTAGTGTATTCCTAGTTAGATGTTAACAAGTGATTTGGAGGATAATGAAGAGTTGCCCTGAGAGCATTACAGTAGAAATTGATTCACAAATAGATATTAATTTACAAATAAAATATTACAAATTTCTCGATAATATAAACTTGAGTTTTTTTTCAATTTTTCTAATCTGTCAGAACTGACATATAGATAGAAAGATAGATAAATAGATAGAGAAAGAAAGAAAAAAGAGAAAGAAGGGAGAAAAACGATTTATATTTAAAAAAACTATTTTATGTATGAAAGTTTCATTTTACGGTAAAATTAAGTTTTTGTAAGTATTCACATATTAATCTTAATATTATTTAACAATATTATTGTTAACTTTTTAAAAATAATATTGTAGTTATATGTTTGTTGTATTATTCTATCTTATATATATATATATATATATAATATATATATATAATATCTATTAGATATTATTATGATAGAATTTTCAGAATTGGATTAACCTCTCTCTAAAAGATTTTTCTCGTTTCGCTGAAATAACGTTAATGTACTATGTAGTATAATATAAATTTTCGTTTAAGAGAAACTTCGTAAAAATTTATAATTAATCAGATTTAATTTTTATTATACCATGATAACTAACCTAACTCACCCAGTAGCCGTTTTTACGACAGAATATAATTAGGTTTTGATTTTTATAGAGTTATTCGCAAAACATTTAAACTTTGTGCAAATTTAGTAAATATAGTAGATTGCAAGAAACGGTGGTTTGAATGCACTAAAGTGCACCGCATCCAGTTTCTGCTATTGTGTTTCGTTGCCGCAAGGATTACAAGTACGGTTCATTAAAAACGGTTGTTACAGCAGGGAAAAGCGTGCCATATGTACTTCGCTAACAACAGCACAAAAGAAAGAGAATAAACTTTTACCTCTACAATGTAAGAATTTCCGATAAACGAGTTACACATGCGCCATTATTTCTCGTCCCGTGTAACAAACTTCAATTTTTTAACTATCGACTTCAGCAATCGATAGTCAAATTGTGTGCTTACATGTCATTCGTTTGTTTCATTTACGTAATATTGTTTACCAGTGGAATGTAAAAATTAGAACGAATATTTCTGCATTCGGTTCGGCTTTTTTTTATCGAGTCGAAATAGTGATAACGAATGACGATCGGTGATCTATTCATTTGATCAAGCACATGATCGGATCAAGTGACTAGTAATTTTGCATATCGCGTGGATCTGTGAATGGATGAGTAGATGGATTAAAAAGCATTTAATTTTAACCCTTTCCGCACGTTGGATTATTGAATCTGTCCGCAATGAAATTTCCACGAATTGTCCAGATCATGAATGCCATATCACGAACTTCTAATTGATTATTCGAGTCGCACGTAATTTTTGATATAAAATTCTCGCTTGTTCGCATGTGATCGCAAATCGTTATATATTACTTTAAAACATAAATATGGATTGAGTTGTTAATCTTTTTATTGTGCATTATTAAATTTTACGGTAACGTGTGCATCAATTTGTTCACAGTTATTTTACTACACAGACTTTAAAGACTTTTTAAAATTTTTTATAAGAAATAGAATTGTTATTATTCTCAATAATTTTATGTGTATTGATCTTTAAATTATTTAAATTTTTAAATAATAATAATGTGATTAGAAAATGTGCGCAATTTCATCAAATTTTATTTTTAATAAATTTTGAAAAACTTATTGAATTGAAAGCAGGGGAATCCCGTCTACAATATCATTTGCCTATATCACTTTTGCCTATAGTTCGATTACCTACACATATTGCCTACAACTTGATTGTCTACAGCATTTTATTTGCTATTAAATACTATTTTATATATTCCCCTGTTTCTACTTAAAGTGAACTCTCCATCACTCACTCTGCAGAAGGGCACACAACTTCCTTAAATTGTACTGTTGCACATGTATTGGTACTCGAGAGTACCATTATGAACAT